GATCTAGTCTTTGTTTGGGTGAGGTTGAAGAAGATTCTCGTCTATGGCAGATGGGTGAAAATCGACTGGTGGTGGCCGACTGTTAACGTAGTCCCTTCTGAGTTAAGTTTTGATGGCTGGGTCTTAGTTCACGACCTCCCGTTCCATCTATATGGTCGGAGGAGGTGTTTTCTTTGATAGGAAGCTTATGTGGAGGGCTAGAAGAGATTGACCCGAAAACCAAAGACTAGTTGGAGCTGAGCTTTGCTTGCTTGAAGGTGAAAACCGAGGAGTTCACTCCATCCCCTGATTGATACCAATCAGACAGAAACGCCTGGTTCTTTGCCATGATCGAAGTATGGAAGAAAACTGAGTCATCTTCCCCATTCATCGAGTTAACTCGGAGCAACAACTTTCGAACTTAGCCTTAGCTGAGCCCATGGCCGACGTAGGAAGCTTTTGTGCTAAGGACGACAAAAAGGTGGCGGCTATTGCAAAGGCGTGTAAAGCAAAACCTTTCCTTACCAGGTAATTGTAAAAGAAGAGGAGAAGCTCTATTCCAAGAGGAAGAGGAGAGGAGCTCTATTCCAAGAGCCATAAAAGGAAAGGTTTTCAAATATTGAATGAATCCTTGGCTCATGTTCCAAAGCCCATTTCAGAGCCTATTTTTTTTGGACCCAGGTGCTACGAGATCTTATTGGTTACCCAAACCCAACCCGGTTAAGCATCCCGTCAAACCATCGGGCTGTCACTCACCTTTGGACTAGGGAGAAGGCCATTCCAACCTTAAGCCCTCCATCAACACCAACTTTCAGTGAACAAACATCCCTGCAACTCCCCCAAGTCTAAATGCTCATAGAAAGGGAGTCCACCGACCCCCAACACTGTCGTGGAGCTTGATCCCAAGCTCCTCTGGAGAAGGCGAATCTGAGTTGGAGGAAGACCTGAGCACTTATAGGACAGAATTAGAGATGAATACTCAGGAGATAGCTCTCAACAGATCCAAAGTCCTATTTGCAGAAAGAGAAGCGTGGGGAAGTGTAGAAATGTTGGAAGATGTCTGTTTGGTAGATCCAGATTACGGGAATCTTTCCGCCAACAAAAACCTTGAGGCTGGACGAGGAAGAAACTTACCGCACAACCAATTTGCAAATCTCTCTAACTCTACTCCCTTTTCAAATCCATAACTTTCTTCTTGTTTCTATCATTATCGTGATTCACCTTCTCATTACTACCCTTGCTGTCCTTGTTTTCCAGGTTCAGGTGACCAACTATCCCAATCAATGGCTTTCCCAAACAAAGGCGAATTTGTGGAGGTTTCGGGTTCAACTTCAGTGTCCAAGGACTTGGTTAGTTGACCTAGGAGGGAACAAAATGATGATGAAGTCACAGAGATGGCCAAAGAACTAGGTCTCCAGCATTGTGACTCCGACAAGGCTTTTGGTAAAGAATGGATTAACATAAGAGGTATGGGAGTTGCCCGGGAGATATCAGGAACAAAGAAAAATTTGAAAAATGGACCGAGTAGGGAATTAAAGAGGTTACAATGGGGTATAGCTGATCAAAATATGGACTGCAGGAGAAGGGAGTAGAAGAATAGGTAAGAGTAAGACCAACAGAGTTTAAGATGAAGATCCTGAGCTGGAATGTAAGGGGACTGGGTGGTGAAATTAAGAGAAGCTTAGTAAAAGACACCCTTCGAAGAGAGAATCCTGACATTATTCTGTTACAAGAAACCAAAAAAGAAGAGGTGGACAGGAAGTTGATCAGAGCAATCTGGGGTTTAAGAGGCAGAAAATGGACTGCCCTCCCAGCCATAGGCACTTCAGGAGGGATTCTTGTCATGTGGAGAGAAGACGTGGTTTCAGGAGTGGAAGCTGATAAAGGCGAATTCTCCCTTTCAATACTTTTCACAAACAAGGCAGATGAGTTCACCTGGATTCTAACAGCAATTTATGGACCTAATGCTCCATCAATTAGGAGTAGATTTTGGGAAGAGCTGGATTCCTTAAATGAACATGATGAGTTTCCCTAGTGCGTGGGAGGAGACTTCAATGTCATGAGATTCAGTCAGGAGCACTCCAATGGGAAGAGGGTAAATAGAAGTATGAGGGAGTTCTCCAACTTCATTTCCAGATGCAGGCTACACGACCTCCCCCTAAGGAATGGTAATTTTACCTGGTCGAACGTTCAGGAGAATGCGTTAAGTTGTAGGCTTGACAAATTTTTAATTACTTCAGATTGGGAAGCCCAATACCCCCTGACCTTTCAGGAGATCCACTCCCGTTGTACTTCCGATCACTGGCCTATCACCCTAAGTACAGATTTGGAGGTTAGAGGGAAAACCCCTTTTAGGCTGGAAAAATTTTGGACAGAACACAAAAGCTTCTGCAAAAAGGTTGCCTCTGGCAAGGATTGATCATCTTCAATCAACAGCTCAAAGGATTGTGGGATTGCATTCTGGCTTCACTCCAGCCATCTTGATCTTCACAGCATACAAATCATCGAAGCACACCTCCTTCAAAGTTCCCCTAGTGCTATAACTAGTCTTTCAATATATTCTTCCTTACACAGATTGAATGGCAGTTCCACCATCTTCACTATTGTGCTCAATGCAGTAATTTCTTTTTCAGTGCAACACATCTTCCATCTTTCAATAAGCACCAACCCTATCTCAGTTTTCAGTGCTGAAACATCCACTACTTTGTCGCTGGTGTCAATAATAGCTCTGTTTTCACAAAACGGTAAGACAGCCGTTGCGTTTTTAATCTGTAGCTTGCTCACTACCTCATCCAGACTGGTTTTGAGTCACTGATTTTCCCCCTTGCCGTGTTGACATATGTTCTCTCCGAATCCCCTCTTTCCACTTCCATTGACATTTTTCGTACTCTGGTCGAGTTTACAATAAGCATTGAGTTATGAGACTTCCGTTGTCCATCGCTTGCACCAGACACATCCTTGGAAAAGTCAGGGTTTTCCTCCATCCCCTTCAGTTCGAACCTCATGAGCTTCCTTCTCAATCTGCTGCTTCTCCGAAGGTTCTTCTTTAATGTGAGTCAGGTATTGCTGTATTTTTTCTGTGACCAACTTCCATCCATTGCATCCTTTCCCTTCTGGCGGACAGAGCATTTGCTTTTTGCCACCCTTAGAGAGCTCTATCACTGTTATAAACCACCCTTTTCTATTCCATTGCAGCACCACCTCGTATTTCCTAATAGCAACACTCAAACAGCTCCTCCAGCCTTGCATTCTGAAAGAAAAAGTTGCACTGTTGACAAAACTTTTCAGCCACTGCACAGCTTCCCCAACCAGGAATATTGTTGCTTTTCTCTCATCCTGTATCTTCAATGTACACAGGTCCTGACTTCTGCAATTTTTGAGGATCAACTTCTTAACTTTGACCTGTAACTCCCTTCTCCACTTCGTTGCAGTCATGAATTTCTCTCCTCCCTTCATTGTCGCACCAAAAGTATGGTATTGACCTTAACCAATCAGTACAAGAACAATAAGGTATGGGATATACAATCTATTGTTTCATTCAATACAAGGAAATGTCTTGGACTTAATACCTTGTAAAGAAACAGTATCCAGAAATGGCAATAACATTGTAACTCCACATAACTACAATATCGTCACCAACTTATGTAATGATCCTATCTCTTGTACTCCATATAGTGATGGTAGTGTTCACTGGGGAATACATTGATTCCAGTAAAATTAGATGTTGCTACCCATGAAAGTGGATATGGAAATATGTCATGGAAACTATCTCTTGTACTCTACATAGTGCTGGTAGTGTTCATTGGGGAATATGTCAATTCCAGTAAAATTTCGTGTCGCTACCCATGGAAATGGAAATATGTCATGGAAACATTAGGGAATTTAGGGGCATTTTAAACCATGGATACCTGTCCAGCTTGTCCTTGACACATCTGCGTAACATAGGCACAAGCATCATTTTATGGCTTACATAGACTTCTCTCTCTGTGTTTTTGTTTCAAAACTTTTTGTTAAAGATGATGGTTGCTTATTCTCATCTTTTCAATCAAATTCATTGTTATGCTCTTATCATCTTAATGAGAAAAGTACCCAAGTTCTTAAGAAGTTTTACTTGACTTCCCTCCAGCTTCTAGCTGCTATTGTTAAGCAGCTACAATTAAGTTCAGTCTTCCCATGTCTGCCCATGGTCATGCATATGGCACATTTCTTTTCTTTTCTTTTCTTTTTTTTTTGGTTTTGGTATGGTTTTGATGAACTAGCTCCTTCTGTATGATATCCATCTCATATTCTCTTTGTACTTCCTGTATTTTATTAGAATATTCTCTGATCATCACTAATCAAGGATACATTTTATATTGTAACATACACATATAACAGGACAGACTTGACTAAACCAAGAAGCTAAAAGGGGCAGTGGAGGCATTTTTCACTGTTAAATAGAGGGTTGCTCAGTGAACCTTCTGGTCCATCTTTGATAAAATAAATACATACTTCTAATTTGTTGAGGGAGGACTATAGTTTAGGTTGATGTGGTTTACATGCTAAACTGATTTATGGAATTATGAGTAACGTTGAGACTGTATTGTGCAGTTAGTCTAGGTGAAAAATTACCTTGTAATGGACAAAATTGTCTTCTACCTCTTCATATAAATCATTTAATGATCCCAACTTTATGAGACAATTGCATTTAAAGTGGTTGGTGAAATTTCTGATTCTTCAGGAAACCTAAACTTCATAGATGAGTTAAAGATGTGAAACTTTTAAAATGAAGACTAGGTCAAGAAATTTGTGGCTGTTTTTTGATTGGTAGTGAATATTAGTTTCTTTATTAATGATCAAGTTTTCTAGAAGCCTAGGACCAGGAATAGTCATTATTTTATGATTAATAGAATAGTTTCTTAACTTGAGTTGAAAGGTATTTAATAACCAAGTATCTTTTTATTGCTTGTTTGTTCACCATGTATGCTAATAGGTTAGATTGTAGAATTTATGTTTTAAGTTTTTTAGCAAATTTTTTGCAGGCAGCGGCCGAATGACGACAAGTGGGAGCATGATCTTTATGAGGATGATGAACCACAAGTATCAAGTATGGATTGATTCTGATGCCATTACTTGTGACCAAATGATTATGCTTCATAAACTTTTGACATCATCACGATGTTGTTTGACTATGTATTGATTCCATGTGAAGATCGCAAAGTTGATGGTAGAGATCTCAGGTTGAAGCTTCAAAAGAAGGGTTCCCAGCAAGTATATCAGAGCGGAAAGGGTACTGTTACAGGTGTCCAGGATCTACGTGAGAAACTATCTGGGACAATGCATTCACAACCAGCAAATACTGATCCACCAAAGTCAAAATCAGTAGCAGAGGTAGCTAAACCTGCTAGAAAAAGTGTTGCAGTTGAAGCACCTCCACTAGAGACCAAAAAGATTTCCAGTTCAGCTGCTTCGAAGAAAAAGACTCAATCAAAGGTAGTAGACTTTTTTTTTGGTAGTCTATCATATGATATTTCCTTCTCTAACCATTTCCAGGCATTATGTGAATTGCCAATTTTAGTTAAAAATTTGTTTCTAGGTGCTAGATGCAGGTTTTGGATGGTATTTCTTAAGAGGGAACATGTTGGCTCTGGGGCTTGTTTGGTCTTTCCCCAAGGGCCTTTCCTCCAACCTCGGGTCTATTGGCTCTCCACCTCTGTAAAGGCTTGAACCTCTTAGGATGAGCAACACAAGATGTCTAACATCACACTAGTTACTTGGAGTAATGCAACTAGGGGATAAGATAAACATGTTGGGAGTTTTGACATGCTTGAATTGTTAAGTTCTTGAAGCACTTTTGTGCAATCCTTCTTCTGTTTGCCTTTCACTTTGTATCTGTTCTGTATGTTATGCTTGTGTATTTTTTTGAGCTAATTAGCTTTTCGTAAAATTTAATTTCTTTTACAATAAATACATGTTTATGTATTTATGTATTTAATCTTTTTCTTGAAAATTTGTACCTTGCTTCGTCCTGGCACACACCTCTCTCCTTGCACCATGCACCTTGGGCACTAGAAGGCACTTGCTCTTTTCTTGTGCCTCCTGCTTTAAAACACTTCACCCAGCATTTTTTTGTTTTGTTTTGTTTATTTATTTCTTTATTTTCTTGGTGGTATGATTCGATAACTATAGATTCTTAGGTCCCCCATCCCTTGCACGTTTTGTTGTCTGACAAAAAAAGAAACGAAGAGAAATTTGTACACTTTCAAGATGCACTTTGAAAGGTTATGGAATAATGGAATTGAATTTTCTGACAACGAAAGGGACCAAGTTTTCTCATGGAACATTGTCCTGTTTATATGCATAGCCAGTAACCATATATGATAATAAGATTTTGGGTGTACATGTAGAAACTTTAATCCTCAAAGAGCTAGCTGATTTCCTAATTGAAATGGCTACATATTATTTCTTTTCTCCCCCCCTCTCCTCCAATGAAGTGCACCTTTTCATCTCTCTTTAAGAGATTCATTGCCATTAAATCTCTACATTCTTCATATTAGCATTTAGCTTGAATAGATTTCTATGATGTCAATGCCACCATTAAATCTTCTTTTTCCCCCCTGGGTAACATATCYAAGTATGCAGGATGATAAATCAGTGGATGGCTTCCTACAGTCTCTGGGTCTCGAAAAGTATTTGATTATTTTTCAGGCAGAGGAAGTATGTGAATTTTTCTTGTGTTTTAACTTCAGAAATTTCATGTATTTAGGTTTAACATATATATTACTTTCTTCAGATTGACATGACTGCTCTGGTTCACATGACTGACGAGGATCTCAAAACTTTAGGGATTCCCATGGTAAACTCACTTATACTTACTGTAGTTAATATTATTCTAGTTCAGTTTGTGCACTGCTGCCATTATTAATCATTTTGCTTGTTTTGCTATGCCAGAATTTTGAAAGGCATTCTTTTTATTTGTGTTTAAGTTCACAGATCATTTCTGTTTGCAATATTAATTTCCTTGACATTTTAAAATATGACTTTTTTTTTTTGTTGCTACTTGACATCTTTTCTTGAGAAAATATCGTTTCTTAGAGGTGGGAATTGGAACAGAAGCTCATTGATCCTCCAAGAAAAGACAGAATAATAAAGAGGAAAAATAGACAAGAAAAAGGAGAAAGAAATTAGCGCAATTCAGTTTGTGAATGTAAATTTATGAAACAATCACCGTGTAACAACTAGCTTCATTGAAAGTTTCTTTTGCCTGCTTCGGTTCCATTGTTTTTCTTGTGCATTAGGGTTATCCTTCAAGGTTTCTGCTTGGCAGGTTATTTTAGTTTGACATTAAATGTTCTGGACACCTGAAGTAGCACATATGTCCTCTAGGTACCTTCTCCATTTTTGATATGCCAGTCAAATACTTTTTGTTACAAAATCTGATTTGGAAAACTGACTTGTAGCCACTAGCCAATCATGCTTGCATAATTGAGACTGTTTTGTGTTGCTTCTGTAAATTGTTCATTAGTAAATTTTAAATCACGAATGTCATGGGTTTCTGTTTCATGGTTCCCTTGGATCGCCATTGAGAAATCAGCATTGCCCCTAAGAATGTGCTTTGCTTGTCATGATCATTAAATATATAGAGGGGGAAAAGACCAGATTTGCAATTTTAATCCCTTCTCAAGAAGTCTATCTATAACTTATTGGTACTCAACAGAATTAAGAATTGTTGGTGACAATTCGATAGAAAAGTTGCCATATAAAATGCAATTGTCAAATGGTCACATTTCTGAGCTAGATTTGGATTCAAACCTGCTGATTTTTTTTTTTTTTTTTTGTTTCTGTGGAAGTTTAACAATAGGTTTTCTGGTTTATTCAGGGTCCCAGGAAGAAAATACTTTTGGCCTTGGATCCCAGAGTCTGAAATTGGGAATCAGCTAACTAGGTTCACTTGCTGTATGTCTAAAACGTGAGCGAATTTCATGGTACAACACTGAATTGCGCAACCGCTGGCTCATGCTTACAAGGCTGTAATGTAACCTCTTTGGTTTTAATTATTCGGTTGTATTGTGAAAGTGGTTTCAGCGGGTCTGGGAGAGAAGTATTGTCAACAAATAGAAGATTGTGCTAAAGGTGGAGTTTCAACTTAATGGATTTTGTGGTTATCTATGTATCCGAATTGTTGATTCCCATCATCCCACTCTCACCAAAAGAACATCCATCAAATATAAAGATTCATATTGATGACGGTGAATCTTGTACTGTGGCTGCAAAAGTATCGGATTCAATCCCATAAATATCCAGATCCAAATTTGATACGTTAATGTTCGAATTTGAATTATATATCATCCATATGATTCAGATGGAACTTAGATGTTGAGTACCATCAATAAATTAAACTAAAAATGATGATAATATCATATACTGAATTTGATATTTGTGCATACGGTAAATAAAATGAATTGAAAATAACTTGCAGGAGATATATAATTTCTATAAAACAGTTATAGGGCCAATTATGTTGTATGGAGTGTTGGGTAATTAAGAAACAATGTGTGCAAAAATGTAGCCGTTACAAGGAACTTATGAGTTGATCCAGCAGGTGATAAACGTCATAAAACTAGAGAAAGTAGAGAATAAGATGGTTTGGTCTACATGCATATAGGACCTTTGACAGCACTAATAGGAAGTGATTTATTGCTAATTGAAAGAACTAGAAGGAATAGGGGTTGACTAGAAAGAATGAGTCAAAGTAGTAAGAAATGATTTAAATGCTATTAATTATATAGATTGGAATGTCAAAATAGGATTCATATATTGAGATAAGGTTTGGATGATGATGATCAATAAACTAAATGTAAAAATATTTTTGGATTTAGTCATATTGGGTTGAGGTAGACCTATATTCCATCCAATTATTGACCTCAAATTTGGATAAATGGATATCATTTTTAGCCTTATTTCTGCCTTAATTGGATCGAATCTGAACATTTGTTGTTGAAGAAGAATATGCATCTTATATATCCCCTTTTAGAAACCTTTTATTTATTTATTTATTTTATTTGCTCTGACAGATATCAGATGCCATAGAACAATTCATCTAAAGAGCGTGGCCTTTTGCTCTTCATACTAAACGATATAGGGATATGTTTAGACTATTTTAGTTAAGGACTAAGGTGAGGTTTGATAAAACTGAAATATGAAAATTTCAAATTAGAAAAATTTTCCTTTTTTTTTTTTTATAAATTTAAGGGGTTTCTTCGGCCAACTCCACCTCAGAATTTGAAATCTCAAAGAGGCCGGTATGGAATTTGAAACTCCCGTCGCCCCAATCTAACAATTCTGAATTTTTTTTCCACTCCACCCTTCACATGTCAGCCAAAAAGTTGAAATGTTTTTACCATTATACCCCTGGTTGCAAAAACGAAGACATTTCGAAGCTCCCTACTCCCAAAGTTTCGACCGTCTTCCCCATTTTGAACATTGAAAGATTTCTTAGATGCTCCATGCATTTGCCATCTGGTAGAGGTCCCATTTCGTCATCGGCTGAAGGAAGCTCGATTTGCCTACCGTTCAAAGAAAACGAAGACATTTATTCGCTCCTTTCGTCCCTTTCGTCCCTTTCGTTTCGAATGTTGGAAGGTTTCTCAGAGCCACAAAAAAAGAAGAAAACAAAGTTCACTCCCTTCTCCCAAAGTTTTGACATTGGAAGGATTCACAGGCCATCAACGACATTCTTCGCTCACCATTGGAAGGAAGCTTAAAGCTTGGTTTACCGTTCACTGGTTGTCGGAGGCACCCTGCATTCACCTTTGGAAGGAAACTCGAAGCAGGGTTTAGCGACCGTTCAACCGCCGTTGGAGGCCCCCAATTTGTTCATAGGTTTCCTTCATCCCTAGGTTTCGACCATTGGATGCCACTGTGTTTTCCTTCTTCTCCATTTATGCTGTTTCATTGAACATTTGTAGGTATGAGTAGCCAGCGGAGTGTTGGGGATCAATGACGTTAAAATCTGAGTTAATATTTTCAGTGGGATGACATTATTTGTTAGTATTAATGTAAGACATGCATATTGCAATTAACATTTGTTGCATTTGAGAAGTAGGGCAGTTGCAAATTTTTTGACTGGGCGTTTCCTCGAGTTTGGTAGGATGATGTTACATCGGAAAAAATAGTCATGCCTATATTATGGAATGCCTTGGAAATGTGGAGAGAGCAAGGCAAATTGAATCCATGAAATGAGCCCATGAGCTATCTGTTGAAGGGATGATTAGGTGACTTGTTTTCATTCTATTTTTATTATTCTCCTCACACTGGTCTTGTGGAAATAGTTTGTTATAATTGGTCACATGTTTGTTAAATTGTTTTACGATTGGCTCCCCCACCTTCACTTTTGTATTGACAACTTTTTGCGCATTTGTTGTAATTATGTTGGACTTTTAAATATAAATATAATGGCTTACAATTTTTTTTGTTCACTAAGAAATATTTCTAAATCCATCGAAGAGACATTCCCATAAGAGGCAAAGAAGCCCTGAGCTAATGGGGAAGCCTAACAGTGGGAAATGGTGCCTTTGTAAAAACACCATTTCCCACTGTCGGTTCGGGCCATGGGGTCAATGGCGGCCGGAAGGTGTCAAGATGATAGGTGGGCCAGTGGTAACAGGAGGGTGTGGGTTTGTGGCCATGGGACACATTCACACCCGCTGGAGTGGCCAGTGGGTAGTTTTGCCATTTTTGACACGTCCCGAAGGAGGGGCACGGGGGTAGATGGGCGGTGGTACCACCTCCATGAAGTGGGGTGAGGCCCCCTGGATGTCCTCACGAGAGGCGGAGATGCCCTAAGCTAATGGGGAAGCTAGACGGTGGGAAATGATGCTTCTACAGAAACTGTTTCCCACCGTTGGTCTGGCTTGTTGGCTGATGGGATGCTAGAAGGTGTCAGGATGCTCGGTGGGCTAGTGACAATAGGAGGGTGTAGGTTTGGTGGCCATGGGACATGTCGGCACCTGTTGGAGCGGCTAGTGGGTGGTTTTTCCATTTCTGGTATGCTATCCCGAAGGGGCGACGCGGGGGTAGATGGGCTGCGGTACCACCTCCATGGGGTGGGGTAAGGTTCCCTGTACGTCATTGCAGGAGGCGGAGACGCCCCAGACTAACGGGGAAGCCCGATGGTGGGAAACAATGCTTTTGTAGAATTACCATTTCCCATTGTCGGTTTGGGCCGATGGGCTATCAAAAGTTGTTGAGATGATTGGAGCTCGGTGGACCAGTGGCAATAGGATGGTGTAGGTTTGGTGGCCATGGGACACGTTCGCACCCGTTAGATCAACTAGTGAGTGGTTTTGCCATTTCTGACACGTTATCTCGGATGGGGGGCGTGGGGTTAGATGGGTGGCGGTACCACCTCCACGGGGTGGGGTGAGATCCAACTGGATGTCCTCGTGGGAGGTGGAGATGCCCCGGGCTAATGGGGAAGCCCGACGATGGGAAATGGTGCTTTTGTAGAAGCATTGTTTTCCACCGTCGGGCCGGATTGTTGGGCCAATGGACTACCGGAAAGTGTTGGGATGGTTGATGGGCCAGTGGCAATAGGAGGGTATGGGTTTGGTGGCCACGAGACACGTGAATGCCTATACAATTTTTTTGGCATGTAGACAAATAAATCCAATTGAGAGGGTACGGTACAGACAAATGTAAAAGCACTACATGTCCACTTCCATTAAAATTTTGGTACGTCCATTGCTATTTAAGATTTCCACATACGTGCTATACTAGCATAAACAAAATGGAGGGTTCCTAAAACCCCTAGTGTGGGGGCAGGGTTCCATACTGGGGGTGTGGTAGGAACGATACAACTATTGGTCAAAATATACGTCTAATAGATATGATTAGTCTCTATATGGTACCAAATGCATCGATAGCGACCATGGGGATTGTTTTCCACCCGTTACATATTGTTGCTGCATACACCGCTTTCGATACACACCTCATTTGCGTAACTTCGCGGTCAAGTTCCATATCTGCTGCCTTAAAAGCCAAATTCTCCTACATCAAAATACCCACATCTCTCTATATGTTCCGACTCTACCTAAGAACGTGGCATTATTTTATGTATGTGAGACCCACCACATGAACACGGTGGGCTTCTTTGATGTGGCGGATTCCTAAAGCAACTGTTGATTGTATGCTAGCTCCTAGTGATGGACGGAGTTTGCCAATAAATATTGCCTCGTGTCCATGTACGATGAAAGCCACGGTTGCTTGGTAGAGGCCATTTCCAGAACTCACAATCCACTCTACATCTTGGGCGTTCAATTCACGAAGGATCAAGTTAAGTAGTTCCCTTTGTGGAAGTATGACAGTGGTAATGCCATTGTGTTCCATTGTCCACCTGGAAAAAGGAGAAATTTGGTTAGAAGGTGACCAATGTTTGTAGCTGTGAAGTATATTCATTGGATGCATGAACCACCCCATTTATAGATGCTTTAGGAGCCTGGATGGGCCTAAAGGTCATTGTAATGCAATATGTGAAGTGATTTCCAAAGTTTGATTCTATGGTGATGTTTGTCAATGGGTCAATCTACTAACCCAATGGTCGTTGAACTGCACCATGTACAATGTATCTCTTTTACATTAGATTGTCCATTGGTCATTGATTTGCACAATCACCATGCTAAGTCTCCCTTGGTCCTTGTGCATGGGCAGTCAAGACTTGTATGAAGTAGTATCTAGGTCTGGTCTATGCCTCCAACCCATGGTGATGTCTGTCGATGGGTCAATATACTAACTGATTGGCATGCATCACTCTACAATGCACCTCCTTTACATTAGATTGCCCAATGGTCATTGAACTGCACCATGTACAATGTATCTCCTTTACATTAGATTCATGTACAATGTATCTCCTTTACATTAGATTGCCCTCTGGTCATTGACCTGCACCATCACCATGCTAAGTCTCCCTTGGTCCTTGTGCATGTTGAAGTACCGAATAGATGCAGAGGTGAATGGCTGAGATCATGGTGTACCAAACCTGCATACAAGGAGAAAAAGAGTAGCTTTACAAAAGAGAATCCGAGACACCTATCTCTCAAACAAAATGCAAGAGAGAAATGTCAAATATGGATGGAGCTGAAATTTGGAGGTTGCTTAACCTTCCAAGTTATCTTTGATTTTTTTTGCACACTCTGCTATCTTTGTGATAGCCATATATATAGGTCTTTCCCCAACGTTCCCTTCCTTGTTTTGAGG